AGGTGTGCTCATCTACCTAGACGATATCTTGATATATACCAGGACCATGGAGGAACATGTCGCCCTAGTGCATCAGGTCCTGAAAAAGCTACTAGCAGCACAATTATACGTAAAATTATCAAAATGTGAGTTCCACCAGTCACAGCTGGATTACCTTGGGTTCCGTATCTCACCTAAGGGTGTTGAAATGGATCCTGCGAAGTGGTGTTGGACTGGCAAGCCCCAAAAACTCACAAACAGCTACAGAGGGTTTTTTTGGGTTCTCTAATTTCTATCGCCAGTTCATCCCATCCTTTGCCCAAGTGGCTCTCCCGCTGACTGATTTCTTGAAAACAAAACATCTCAAAAAATCCCCATGCCCTGGTTGTCAGGTGGTATGGACAATTGAGTGTCAGCGGGAGTTTGAGCAATTGAAAGCCCTGTTTGCAAATGAGCCAGTGATTAAACACCCAGAAACAGACAAGCCGTTTGTAGTCCAGGCCAACGCTAGTGATGTGGCAGTAGCCACTGTTCTCCTACACATGAACAATGACAGGGCCCTCCAGACGTGTGCTTATACCTCCAGAAAATTGACTGAGATTGAACGTAATTGGCCCATATGGGAATAGGAAGCATTCGCAGTCCAGTGGGCCTTGTTAATGTGGCAGCACTTATTAGAAGGGGGAGGGTTGGCCTTTGAGATCTGGACAGACCATAAGAACCTGGAAGTCCTCCAATCCGCATGGCGACTATTGCCAAAACAGGTGAGGTGGGTGTTATATTTTAGGAGGTTCAACTTTACGTTGAAATACTTCCCAGGGAAAGAACTTCCTCACAGATGCCCTCTCTCGTAAACCACAATATGACAGCAAGAGGGAGATCTCAATACAAGCTATCCCAACACCACCCACTAAGGTGTTAGCTACCCAACATACGTCATCCACACCCTGTGCACAAGCCCAAATTGAGGACATACCCAGGGCCATCCAGGCAGCCCAATAAGCAGATCAATGGTACCAAGACAGCCACCTGTTATTGACTCAGATGTTATTGATGGTCTTGCCTGGAAGGGAGCCAAAATATATGTACCCAGTGCTGTCCGTTTGCTAGTGTTACATCGATGTCACGATGTCCACTCAGTTGGGCATTTTGGGTTCCTCAAAACATTGCATTTAACCAATCGCCAGTTCTGATGGCCCCATATGAAAAAGGACATAAAGGAGTATGTAGGCAGCTGTGTCGTGTGCATGACCAGGCCAGGGCACCCTCCCAGACTGTTACAATCCTTGGCAGACCCTGTACACCCATGGGAACAGATAGCAATGGACTTCATTGTTTTCTAAACAGGCTCATTTTGTAGCATGTACTGGCCTCCTGTCCGCTAAATGATTGGCCAAACTGTTTATCATCCACATCTATCAGCTCCATGGTGTACCCAAATGGATAATATCAGACCAGGGGGTGCAGTTTATAGCTCACTTTTGGTGGAATTTTATAAACATGATAGGGTCGTCCCCAGGCTCAGCCTTCCATCCCGCAACCAATGGAGCTTCAAAAAGAGCCAATGCAATGGTGGAGCACTATTTAAGATGTTAAGTATCAGCAGACTGATTGGGCTGATCTACTCCCATTCACGGAGGTCGCATACAATGCACTTCATAGCAGTACAGGGTTCACGCCTTTCCAGGTAGACTTTGTTTCGATTCCGGAGTGTCCCCAGGTGGCTACTGCCGATTCAGGTACATGGGAGTGGATAGCCCCGATGCAAAAAGTATGGGGGGTGATGAAAATGGCATTACACCATGCAGTTGTGAAATACAAACAGCAGGCAGACAAAAAGCAAAGGCCACAAACACCTTTCTTTGTAGGGCAGATGGTATTCCTTTCTACCAAATAACCTAAAGTTATCTGTGCCCTGTAGGAAACTTGGCCCTAAATTCATTGGACCATTTCCTATTGTGAAGGTGATTAGCCCCGTCACAGTGTAGTTAAAATTGCCTCAATTATTAGGTAAAACGCATCCGGTCTTCCACTGCAGCTTGATCCGGCCAGTTCGGCCATCACACATAAGGGGGGGGGGTCCCATACAGCCACCTCAACCCATGAATGTAAACAAGGAACAGCATTACGAGGTGGCAGACCTTCTAGACACCAGGTGGCATAGGAGGCGGCTGCAATACCTGGTCTTATGAAAAGGCTACCCTTTGTCAGAGGCTTCATGGATCCCTGATACAAACATTAGGGCACCTCAACTGGTAGCCCGGTTCCACCACAAGTACCCAGATAAACTGGGGCCCCGCTACCAACATGTAGTAGTAGAAAGGGGTAATAGACTGTTGGTTTTATTATTTTGGTTAGGTTCTCAGCCACATCTTTGATTTTAGCTTTTTAGCTTTGATTTTAGATTTTAGGTTTGCTGGCATCTGGGTCCCAGCAGTGTTAGTTCTTTAGAGGTAGTAAATCTGACCCAGTTTTGGAAGTAACAGTGAAGAAAGTATCAGATCCAAATGCAGAAAAATATGAAGAATCCCCAGGTGATTGACTTGTTTCTTTAAGAACAAATGATCACTTCACAATGCCTGACCATCTTTGCCTCATGTAGACTATTCCAAGAGATCAGCTCACACTAAGACACTCCTGAAAATGTGGGTGTGTGTGGGGGGGTGGAACAGTTGTATGCCATCATTGCACTGATGACATTTCATTGCAATAGGTAATCTGTATTTCACAATAATATATAGATTTCATAAATTCTTACAACATCTTGCAACTTGGCTTTTGTGATGCAATCAGAGCACACCAGGATGGCAGAGCAGAGTTTCAAGTTGTTCATTAGGACTTAGACTTTCCATCACCTTTCATAAACTTTTATTTTGCAACTTGGAAACCTTTAGCTTCTTGATAAAACAAGGAACCATCTAAAGATAAAACAAGAGGAAAGGATCCTTAAGAACCACCTTATCAAGAGTTTTCTCCCATTATAATGCATATTCAGATCATTAGCAGAGAAGATAATATTTTAATGTAACTGGAATATCCCAGTAGTAGTGAAGTTATCAGAAAAAAAGTTGGAATTATTGTTACTTTTTCTCTCGCCAATCTGCAAGTATTAAGTAACAACACAGTATTTTTCATTTTGAATACTGCAACAGTAAATTCTTTTACCAGAGTAATTAAGACTCAGCATTTATTTATAGATAGATACAATATGGTTGTCCTGGATGCAGATTATTGGTTTATAATGAATACTAGCAGGCTTTCATTATATTTTGGAGCTAGATTTATTCAAAAATACAGGTAATCCTTGACTTACAACAATTTGTTTAGTGACTGCTCCAAGTTACAACAGCACTGAAAAAAGTGACTTATGATCATTTTTCACACAACCATTGCAGCATCCCTATGATCACATGATCAAAATTTGGACACTTGGGAACTGAGTCATATTTATAATGGTTGCAATGTCCTGGTGTCATGTGATCACATTTTGTGACCTGACAAGCAAAATAAATGGGGAAGCCAGATTCACTTAACAACCGTATTGCTAACTTAACTGCAGCAAAAAAGGTTGTAAAATGGGACAAAATTCAGTTAACACCTGTTTTAGCACAGAAATTTTGGGCTCAATTGTGATTGTAAGTTGAGGGCTACCTATATATGGGAATGGAAAATCATCAGTTCTATCTAAATTACAACTTGGAGTGAGGGAGAACCTTCCCTTAAACCCAGAGCTTCATTTAAGCAAGAAAAGGTTAGCACCAGGTCTTTCACCATTCAATTAGTGGTTAATATAGGCAAAGATTGGCAAAGAGATGATACAGTCTTCAACAAGAACTTCCTGCTCATCCTGCAGAATCAAGGCACTCTGATGTTTTGCCACTGTTTCTCTGCTGTTTTCTGGCTCTTTTGAAGGGTGGTTTTACTATATACCTGCATGGTACACCATAATCATGGTTATGATTATGCTTATTTTTCCAGCATTCTAGAAAGCAGTTGTAAAGGAAGAACACTGCTATCATAGCTGCCTTTCTTAGTGCTTCTTGTTGATCAGCTGGAGGGAAAGACATTTTGAAGTATTACAGCCAGCCAGCTTGCTCGTGGAGTTTGTGAAGAGAGGCTGGAGATCATAATGAAGAATTTTTCATATCTATGTACTGTACACTCATGTATGTGTGTGCATGAAATAAAGTCAAGTTGAAACAAGTCTGTTTGAGACAAGTCTTGCAATCTGTTCCTTTGTCTGTTTGCAGTTTGCCTTGAACTTTCTCCCATGATGTCACTACACCCATCTGTACCAATATAGATGTTTGCTGATTAGCAGATTCTATCTGGTCCTCTCCCAAATCATGAAACATGCCATCATCATTTTAATGATTGCATAATTTAACAAATTATCATTTCATATTGAATAATTTAATGATTTAATGAAATAATTATTCTTAATGCCCTCATAAAACAACAAATTTAGAGTTTGCATAATCCTATATCATATACTGTATAATCCTATATAATTTTATATCACACATCATTTATTTTTGCAGAAAAGCTTTAATATATTTTCTCCCTCATTCTTCAACTTTGGTTTGGTTTTCTGCTGTCACTCACTCACTCTCTCTCACACACACACAGAGGGAGGGAGGGAGGGAGGGAGGGAGAGAGAGACGGAGGGAGAGAGGGGGGCGGTGAAGCCAACTGAGCACAGATAAAATCTAGGGCTTAGGTTGTGGTGATAAGAGCAGTGAAGCATACTTACTTCTCTGCTCTTATTGTATCCACAGATAGCAAATGCTCAGGATGATTAGGACCAGGGGAACCTCTCCAAGGCTTCTGCAAGGAATATTCTCAGCATCTGTTATATAAAATTGTTTTATTTCATTTGGACATGGATGCCAGATGGGCAGATCCTATGGAAATGATTATGGAAGTCACTGAGGAAGTGACAGAAAGAATTTGACACAATTACTTCCAAGGAAATGGACAAGATCCTTGGTGCTCTGAGTTCTGTCACCTGTTCTCCACCTGGTTGGCTAAGGCCTCATAGGAGATGGCATGTGATTAGATCCAAGAGGTAATTAATGTCTCTTTGATGGAGGGGATGGTGCGGTCTTCGCTGAAAGAGCCAGTGGTATGGACCCTTCTTAAAAAGGCTATCCTTGGACCCAATAGTGTTAGATAACTTTCATCCAATCTTAAACCTTCCCTTCTTAGGAAAGGTTGTTGAGAGGATGGTAGCTTCAGCAGGCTCTGGATGAAGATTATCTAGGCCAGGGATGTCAAACTCTATTTCATTGAGGGCAGCATCAGGATTATGGTTGCCCTCAAAGGGCCAGTTGCATGTAAGACTATGATGACTCATAGATGGGCATGGCTGGGTGGTCACAGTTGGGTCGCCGTGACAAGGTTGGCATGGCTGGGTGGGTATGGCCGGCTTGAGCAGGGGGTTGGACCAGAAGATCACTTATATCCCTTCCAACTCTGTTATTCTGTATTCATTTGGGAGTGGACTGGATGATTTCTTTTTCCAAGGATGCTTTCAGCTTTAAATTTCTAGTAAGATTGAACCTCATTAGTTGAATGGAAACCCACCAGGAAATCTCATAACTGAGGATCAGACTGAGAATTCAGAAAAGAGCCTAAAACCCAGCAATGATACTTTTATATTATCAAGGAATCAAGACAAGTGTTCAGCTAGACTCCAGGGAAATTTTACCAACGTCTTAGTTACACAACAGTTACAGGGTAGTCCTTTTGGGAAAAATGGAAAAAGTCAAGTAACCAAGATCTTTTCTGGGGGTGGGGTGGGCAGCTCAAATATTGTCACAACAGTGATGAAGCTTTTTCCTAATTAGAGTCTTCGATTTATGACAATTGAGCCCAAAATTTCTGTTGCTGAGACAATTGTTAAGACAATTTTGGCCCATTTTACAACCTTTTTGCCATAGTTGCTATGTGAATCACTGCAGTTGTTAAGTTAGTAGCATGATTGTTAAGTGAATGTCTTTCCCATTGACTTTGCTTGTCAGAAGGTCACAAAAGGTGATCAAATTACTCCAGGACACTACAGCCATCCAAGTATCTGAATTTTGATGGGGATGCTACAACAATAGTAAGTGTGAAAAACAGTCATAAGTCACTTTGCAATTTTGAACAGTCACTAAATGAACTTTTACAGGACTATCTGTATAACATTTTAAAAAATCTTCATGTTCACTTCTAATTCGATGTAGAAAACATCTTTGCCTCGAATCTCTGCAAAAGGTCAAGCAAAAGGCATTGGAGGTCCCTATTTTCTTCCTCTCCCATCTGACCTGAAACTCCTTAAAGAAAACCAGATGAATGAGCCAGTTCAGAGCCCCAAAGCTGGGTTTTGCCTTCCCACAAGCATAAATAATAAAGTATGCTGGAACTTCCTGGGATGGCCTACAGCTCCCTTTGAGCTCGTTACATCTGGGCTGGGCTGCAACATTCGCTCTATGTTGCTATGGATACTTTTTGACTTGTGAAAACTGGTGCAGCAGAAGCCAAAAAGCTCAAAATGAACAGAAAGAAGCTGAAGCTTACCAAGCTATTATGCAAATCCACTAAATATTGTGAGTAAAAATGGGTCTACTCTCTCCTCTATACTTCTTTAAACCCAGCTCCTCCTACATTCATTAATCCATCAGTGAATTTGTGATAATTGCTTTTATATTGTTATCTTGCTTGGATAAGATTGAGTTTTCCATCCAGAGATGCTGAAACTACAACTCCCAGAATTCCTTGTCAGTGGAGTAATTACTTGTGGAGTAATTACTTGTGGAGTTGAGAACAGCAACATTAGAGTAAACGGGAGGTGTATATTCAAATTTACAAATAAATCTTCATTGCTGATTTTGTTTCACTGTTTCCTTTTGTAGTTAATAAATTTGAAAGGCAAGGCGAGGCGGGGCGAGGTCAGACAGGGCGAGGTGAACAAGCTGTAGCTGCTGCTGGGCATCACCAGCCCCTGCGTGCTTGCCACCTCCTGTGTGTGCGCCCAGGGGGATCGCCCAGCTGGGCTGGGGTGGGCCAGGGCCAAGGCAGCGGGAGCCGGCCCCTCATTTCCAGGGCAGCCCCATGGGCCAGATCTAACCGCATAGCAGGCTGGATGTGGCCCACAGGCCTTGAGTTTGACATGTCTGGGGTAGGGCAAGAGGCAAAGTTTAGGCCATTGCAATGCAGGATGCCTCAAGTCATGGGTGTCAAACTCAATGTCATGTGACATATTGTGATGTATCATGACACTTTTTGCCTTTGTGGAGCCAGGGTGGGTGTGGCCTGTACGTGAGACATCCAGCCAGTTGACACCCCCGCCTCAGGTCTTTCACCCCATCTCTTCAACATCTACTTGAAATCATTGAGATTTGACAGCATGGAAAGTGGTATCACCACTGACAATCCCAGTTATATATCTCTCTACCTCTGGTCATCCAAGTGATGCTGTCTCAATGTTGGCCCATTTCTATTGCCACATTGCTGGCATCTGCTTGTATGACAAATGGTTTCTCTGTGTCCGGGTGTTTTTGAATTGGTTCTGCTGAGAACAGCTATTTAAGTTTTTCAAATGCCGCTTGGCATTCCATAGTCCAGTTCAAAGGCTGCTTCGATTTAGGGTTGCCCGCCCCCTTTGTTTCTAAGAGTTTGGTAATGGGGAGGGCAATCTGAGCGAAAGCGGGGGTAAACTGGTGGTAAAAGTTGGCGAAACCCAGGAAGCTTTGAAACTGTTTACGTGTGCGCGGTGGTTCCCAATCAAGAACAGCCTGTACTTTTTGAGGATCCATTTCTACGACATGGTGTGAAATGCGGTACCCCAAATAGTCAATTCACATTTAGAAAGTTTAGCATAAAGTTTGGCAGAGCGGAGTTTGTTTAAAACAGCCCTGACTAGTTTTACATGTTCTACTTTGGTCTCAGTATATATTAAAATGTTGTCCAAGTAGACCAGGACCCCCTTATACAAATGCTGATGTAGCACTTATTTATTAATTGCATAAACACTGCGGGAGCTCCTTGTAACCCAAAGGGGAGCACCTTGAATTGGTAGCACTGAGGGGGGTGTTAAAAGCCATTTTCCACTCACCCCCGTCCTTAATTCTGACACAGTAGTAAGCCTCCCTTAAGTCCAGCTTTGAAAAATTTTTCCCTTTAGCAAGGTGTGCTAGAATATCTTTCATAAGGGGGAGGGGGTACATATTCTCTACACTGATCGTATTTAAATTTCTAAAATCAACACAAAGACGTTTTAAGCCATCTTTTTTTTCTCTAAATAACACTGGAGCTGCGATTTTTGGTCGGGGTGGCTCGATAAAACCCCTTGCTAGGTTTTTCTCTGTCTTTTTTTTGGAAAAAGTTTTTTATTTTTATTTTTCATCAACATTTTTAAATGTACAGTCTTTTATCCATCCTTATACGTTGTTTGTTCATCTTCTTCTTTAACTCCCATTAGATAATTAATTATTTGTTCGGGTCTGCTCTTTTACCATTTCCTTCTTTTGTTTTACTATAACCTTTCCTTTTTTCCTTCCCTTCTTTCTCCTCCTTTCTTTCTTCTTTCCTCATTCCTCCTCTCCTCTCCTTTCCTATTTCCTTTCCTATTTCCCCTCTCCTCTCTTCTTCCTCCCCTTCTTACCCTCTCTCCTGCTCTTCTTTCCCCTTCCTTCTTCCTCTCCTTTTCCCATTCTTCTTTTCTCTTCTTCTCACCTCCCAAATCCCCTACTTTCCCCTCTTTTCTCCTCCCCTCTTTTCCATTCCTTTGTTGTTTCCTTTTTTAATTCAATCTGAGATGGTATTCGAGCAGACCCAATTTCTATTTACATTATTTTATTTTATTTTATTTTATTTTATTTTATTTTATTTTATTTTTTATTTTTATTTTTTATTTTATTTTATTTTATTTTATTTTATTTTATTTTTATTTTATTTTATTTTATTTTATTTTATTTTATTTTATTTTATTTCTATACCGCCCTTCTCCCGAAGGACTCAGGGTGGTGTACAGCCTAATTAAAAACACAAAGACAGACAATATTTAAAAATAATTAAAATTATTAAATAATAGGCCCAATTTATAAAACCCCGAATTTAAAATCCCATTTAAAACCAATTAAAATCTTTATATTGATAGCCCAGCCTGGCGGAACAACATGGTTTTGAGGGCACAGCGAAATACACGGAGATCAGAGATTTTACGAATTTCTGGGGGCAGTTCATTCCAAAGGGCAGGGGCTCCCACAGAGAAGGCCCTTCCCCTGGGTGTCGCCAGCCAACATAATTTGGCCGATGGCACCCTGAGGAGACCCTCTCTGTGGGAGCGGACTGGCTGGTGGGAAGCTACTGGTGGCAGAAGACGGTCTCGAAGGTACCCAGGTCCAATGCCAGGGAGCGCTTTAAAGGTGATAACCAACACCTTGAATCGCACCCGGAAGACCACTGGGAGCCAGAGCAGCTCGTGCAGGAGGGGTGTCATGTGGGCACAATGAGTTGTGCCCATAACCACCCGCGCGGCCGCATTCTGGACCAGTTGGAGCCTCTGGGTGCTTTTCAAGGGGAGCCCCATGTAGAGAGCATTGCAGTAGTCCAGTCGGGAGGTGACAAGGGTGTGAGTGACTGTGCGCAAGGCGTCGCGGTCCAGAAAGGGCCGCAACTGGCAGATCAGGCAAACCTGATAAAAAGCCCCCCTGGCCACGGCCATCATATGTTCTTCTAAAGACAGCCGTGCGTCCAGGAGGACGCCCAGATTGCGGACCCTCTCTGTGGGGGGTAAAGACTCACCCCCAATAGTCAGCAATGGCACCAGCTGACTATATTGCGGCGCTGGGAACCACAGCCACTCGGTCTTGGAGGGGTTGAGTCTGAGTGTATTACTTACATCTTTATTTCCAATTTCATTTTTTACTTTACTATTATTCCTCTAGTATTCCTGTACATTTTTTAATCAATCCATGTATCATCTGGGTATAACATTTTCAAAGTTTACCATTATTTCTTAAAATATATATTTATCTTTCCTTCTTTCATTTAATTTTAATATACTACAACATATTCATCTCA